ACAACTTGGTACTTGGACAGTGGCACAACTTGGTACTTGGACAGTGGTACAGTTTGGTACTTGGACAGTGGTACAGTTTGGTACTTAGACAGTGGTACAGTTTGGTACTTAGACAGTGGTACAGTTTGGTAAACTTTGTCTGGTCAGGTTGTCATACGATCTGACTGTAAGATAGTTGTAGATCGGCATGTTTTAGCACAAGTTTTATACAGAATGCCTTTCATGACATTACCCTTACCATTTATCCAGGTTTTGGACTGGCACCAAAAGCACACAAAATACCGACCCATTGGCTGGTTTAGGGTAGTTTCACACTTAAGGTGGGAAGTTGGTCTTTAATGCATTATATCATTGAAGTTGACAAGTACATGACCTTGTCTGAGACATTTTGTTTCTTGTGGGCTTCTCTGTACTTTTATTCTTACCTTACTGTTATAGCAATGAAACCAAAGTGTAAAAGACACACAAAGTGTGTGTGTTTGTGTATTTGTGTGGCCTTGCCTCGGGCATCTAGCCCTGTCAGCAAAGTGTGCCCTCAGCCAAGCTGCTCCAACCAAGACAGACATTTTCCAATACAGTAAGAGACAGCCAATCAAATAGTCTTCGCTGGCGTAATTCAACAATACTCTGGGGACTCGTTCAGTGGAGTGGCTGCAGAGATAGAAGCTCCCAACATGACAAAAAATAGTCCCGAAGGACGTGAGACGCAGAGAGGGGATTGATATTGATACATTTATTATGAGGGATCTCTCTGTGCTTTGAATTTCTTAGGTTTATAATTACAAGCTTGATCTAAAAAAGCTTATTTACTCCTAATGACTTTTTATTACTTATACAGTTTTTTGGGGCGAAGCTGTGGCTCACTTAAACCTCATTTGTCTTCATTGACCTCACTGTAGACGTGTCCCCCGCCTCCCGCACAGTGACTACTGGATATGGGCAACAGTGACCTCCACAACCCATAAAGGAAGAAGCAGGTAAAGATAATGAATGGATGGACATTTGTTCTACCATACAGTAACTTAACAGATGTGCTAACACAGAGAGCTAGAGAAGCTGCAACATTATTGCCAGCTACCTTCTAAGTGTTTGCAAATCTGGATAAAATGCAGTTTAACAATTTAACTTCCCAAACTCCTGAGCATCGCCATGAACAGAAGCACGAGTTTGGAATAGTCTCAACAGGTTGTTCCCAGAACACAAGAGGCAAACGCTGAACAGACAAAAAGAGAAAGCTCATTCAAGGTTAAAGTCCGCTTGTTTTATCAGCTATTTCTGCTATTTCAGCTTCTATTTAGCTGATTTTATGCTAATTTTAGTTTTTCCAGTTAATTTCACATTTTTTGCACTCATTTAAACTTTTTTCAGTCTAATTCAGCAAAAATATGCTCTCTCCACTTGCTTCTGATAATTTAAGCTTCTTTCTGTTTTTTTAGCTACCTTTTTTTTTTTTTTTTTTTTTTTGTCTTTTGCATAATTCTGCTTTTTCAGATAATTTCCAATTTTTCTGTGCTCATTTCTGCTTCTTTCGGCCTAATTGGACACAATTGTGTTTCTCCACTTTTTGGTAATTTAAGCTCCCTTCTGCCTTTTTGCTACTATTCAGCTGTTTTTTTTTTTTTTTTGCTTATTTCAGCTTTTTACAGATAAGTTTCACTTTTTCGTGCTCATTTCTACTTCTTTCAGTCTAATTGGGCACAATTGTGCTCTCTCCACTTTCTTCTGGTAATAAGCTTTCTGCCGTTTCAGCTACTTTTCCGCTCTTTCTTGCTAATTTCAGCTTTTTTTTTAGCTAATTTACAACATTTTTGCACTAATTTCTGCTTATTTAAATCAAATTCAGCAAATATGTGTTCGTTCTGCTTTCTTCTGCTAACTTAGGCTTGTTCTTCCATTTCAGATAAATGTCAGCATGTTTTTAGCTAATTTCAGCTGTTTATCAGCAAGTTTTTCAGCAATAAGCGTTCACGCTACATTTTCGCAGTTTATTATTTTTTTCTTCTGATGGCTACTCAATGTGGTAAAAGTTTGCTCTATTGCCCCACAGTAAGAAGGTTCAAGAAGTTTTCTGTTTAGTACGGGCACGTTTTTGTGGGTACGCCGGCCTTCTTTTTACAGTCCAATAAAAATGTAAAAACATGGTCGCTTAGTGACTCATAATTGATCTTAGTCGTGTTTGTGTCTTTGCGCTGGTCCTACTATTCTGTCCAGGGTGTCCTTCGCCTCTTGCTCGGGCGTTTTCAGTCATGGGTCCTAAACTCTGGAATAATCTGCCCATCAACATTGGACAGGCCACCTCGGTCTCTATTTTTAAATCTCTCCTCAAAACAAATCTGTACTCATCGGCATTTAACACAATGCGATCTCCTTTGGTATTTCGTTGTTGATGATTGTGTTCATCCATTTTGCTTTTACTCCCTGACATTTAACGCAGGGTGATTTAGTATTTTCATTGTTTCTCATTATATTTAATTGTTTTTAGATAATTATTTTTAATTTAATTAATTTATTTTAGTTCTGAACATCCACTTTCATTTTGACTGATTACAATTTCTGTTTATAAATATATATTACACAATTTTGTGTGTAATCAATGGTTTGACAGTTTACTCGTCCTTCTGTTACTGGAAATATTAAAAGAAGTTTGTGTAGGTTACAGAAAATAAAAACAAAAAATATATTAAGAAGCAAGTTTTTTGTTGTTGTGGTATGGAAGCCTGTTGCTGCCACCTCCGGGGAAATAAAACAACTATAAAATTTTCACCTATAGATTAAATTTATTGATCTAATATTTATCTTTATTTTTTCATGTAATGTAAAACAATTTAATATTGTTACAATTTAAACATTTAACCCACAATTACAAGAAAACATGGTATAACATTTTTAAAATCTTGAAATAACATGAGATCGTCTTTACTTGTACAAAAATGACACAACGTAATAAGTTGGGTATATAATTATATTATAAAAGCATTTTGTTATGAACTAAAAATCTAAGCTGTGGGAATATATATACATGTTATTTCATGATTTTAAAAATG